GGGGAGTATGTGGTCTCCATTTGATTATTATAGAGATATTTTATATTTTTTATTTCATTTTTTCATAAATTTTATATTTAACTTTACTATTACTACCACAAATTTATCTCTTTTTATAAATGTAACTCATTAATGAATAAAATATTTTTTTTTTCACTCTCAAATGTAAAGAATCAACAACCCCATCAATTACCAATATTCTGCATTCATTGTATATTTGCTTTCAGAATTTGTTCTCATTCTCACTTGGAATTTAAATTTCCTTTTTGGAATTAATAAAAATTGTTTACCTTTAATCTTTTGTACTTTTTTTACTTGATGATCGTTGAATATGGGGAGATTCGTAATTCTACGATCTCGTTATGTATTCTGGCGGAGTTTGTAACCGTTGGATCAATTATCCACGACGATTACATGATGATCTAACGGTTACAAATCGCGACGGATTCAGGTGGATCAATTATCTACGACGATCACATGATGATTTAACGGTTATAAATCGCGACGGGTTCAGTAACAGGATTGTAGCATTTTCCTGAATATGAACTCAAATTTTGAGAAAAATCCAGTGATGTGTGTTTGTTGTTTTTTATTGTTAAAAAAAAAAGTGATCTTTTCTTTCTTTATTGTCCCTCTTTTGTCTCATATGCTATAATTATAATATTTTTTTATTTTAATATTATTATTTTTTTTTTCTATTTGATGGACTTTTGTTTTCTCATGTCATTACTATATTGTATTTGGACATAAGTGCTTAGTTAACTGACTCACTAAGTAAGGATGTTTGACTAATCAAATTGATGAATTAAAAGTATTCAAACTTCTGAAAAACAAGTGAATTAATTTCAATGTCAATGTTAGTTAATCCCAACTGGGAATATTAGGTGCTCATTAGTCAATGCTAATAACAACAATTTATTTTTATAATAGTTTTTTATTAGTAGAGTAACAAATGCAAAATCAAAAACTCAAAAAAATATTTTTCTTTTTTTTTTTAAAAAAAAAAGTGATTTTGAGCTCTTTTTTTTTTCCATACAATACATTCCTAAATAAACTTTGACAAACAAAATCATTTTACTAAAACTAAACTTAACTTATTTATTTATTTGAATAAAATAATGCATAAATTTAGTTAAATTATGAAGTAACTTTTTAACACAAGTTCAAAAAAGCCAACTATCTTTTTAAAATTGAGAATATAATAATGATTAGTTGATTATATCCAGATTTATAAAAAAAAAATTGAAGAAAAATGTAGAAAAATATAAATAACACAAACAAAACTTGCATATAACAAGCAGAGAATATAAGAAACACCACCTTTACAAACAGATCCAAAAGCAGAAAAAAAAAATAAATTCATTCATTTAAAGCCTTAAATTGCAAAATTCAGAAAATTTCATATCCAAACCTATTTTTTCCCCAATTGTAACTTGTGAATTGGGCCTTGAAGAAGAAAGTTTCCATTTTTCTTCACCACCAAACACCATAAAAAGTGGCAATGTAACAAAGCTCTCTACATATTTAAAGGCTATTTGTTGTTTGCCTTGGACATATAAATAATAATAAATTGTAGTCCACAAAAAAATACTATCCCCTATTCTTTTTAAATGTCATTTTGACATTAACAACTATTAATAAAATAAATATCGTGTCGGATATTTTATACATATTTTTCCATTATTGCCCTCATCTAGCTAATAGTTATACTTCTTTTCATATTCACTCTTCATCTTTTCTCAAAACATTCTCCAATTAATGAGGGTTATTATTGGTAAAAAAAATATTTTTAATAATTGTGTATCTTCTCAAAAAAACATTTATTATGAATAGGAAGGAATAACAAAAATCTATTGACTGAAAAAAATAATAATAAATAAATAATAAAAAATGCAATAATTGTTTGTGGGGGACCAAAATGTCAGTACATGAAAAGTCACAGACAAGAAAGATTACATAACTTTAATTTGGTGGGCCCTATGCTATTAAAAAGGCCTGGCCCTGATTTATAGGGCTTCACAGTACAAGAAAACAATGCAGGGCCTTCAGACGTGGGCCTGTAGGCTGTAGGCCTGGAAAAAAAAATCCATTCCGTGCTCTTGACTTTTTGGTCGTCGTCGATATTTATTTAAAAGTTACATAAAGAATGAAAATTTTAAAATTGGGTTTGATAAGAAATTCAGACGGCAAGATTGACAAAATATGAAAAATAATTAGAATTCTTGTTCAAATAAAAAAAAAAAAAA